CCCCGGGAGGGTCCGGGGCTCCTGCCTGCATCTCTGTAGCCCCCCCAGCCCCTGGCCTGTGCCCTCGCAGCCCCCACTGCTCCTTCAGAGGCCCCCATCTGAGCTCCCAGAGCTCCTACGGCCCCTGAACTGCACTCCTATAGCTCCCAAGTGTGCCCCCCCTCCCAGGCTCCCCAGCTCTCTTCCCAGGCCCAACACTCATCCTATCACTTTTTCCTCTCAGACTCTCTTGTCGTGGTGTCCTGGGCCTTAAACCCGCCGTCTTCGCCTCCCCCCAAGTTCCTGTCCATTTGGTGCCCCCCCCCCCCTGCTCCCCATGTTGTCTCCTGGGGGGTTCCTGTTCACCAGCAGTTACTCCGCGTCACCAGGACTCTGTGCCGTGGCACAATCTGGGGTTTCTGCCCTTTGTTCTGTACCCCTTCAGTTCCCCCAGTGCTGCAGCCACCTCTGCGCCCCGCTGGCCTGTGTGATGGCACCCGTCTCGGGGTATCTTTGGTTTTCTTGGGTCTGGCCCCAGGCACACCCTGCTGCACCCTGTCCCTCATTGTCGGGAACTAGTACAGCAGAGGACTCTGGAGCTCAGTGTTAAGCTTTAAAACTGGTTTGAGAGCAGTTTCTAAACCTTCAGCAAATTTTCTTTATTCCGGATGCTAATTGCTAAGTCATGCAAACTGGAAATTAGCAATCAGAAAAAGAAATGTTAAGCAATTGATGTGACTTGATCCGAGTTTCTTCACAGCTCAGATTTCACTTCTGGTAAATGGTGTGTTATCACCCTGCCCTTTCTCTAAGTTGTGTAGATTCTCCTAAGGTTAAACAGGATCCAGAGAAGGTTTTTAAAACCTTGGTATTATTGTCGTTGTTTACACTGTGGCAAGCAAGCACTAGAAAAGCTAACTTTGGGCTAACATCCCGCTGAGCTCTGTGCCATGCAAACATACAACAACAAGTGCCTTAAAAACACTAGTTATTTTTTTCCCGTCCTGAAGGAGCGAAAAAGGAAAAAGCCAGTTTGTGTGCTTTTGCAGTGTCCCTTTAAAAGAGCTGTGAATATTTGATTCCAGCACAAAATTGGGCAAAAGGGGACCTAGGTAATATCCCCAATTTACTGAATCCTTTGGGCGAATTGTTTAGCATCTCCGTAAGTGTATCACTCTGCCTGTAAAACAGGGATAACACCACAGCGATGCAGATTAAATTCCTTGTAAACTGCCTTGGGTTGGGAGAGAGGCATGAAAAGCTTCTTCCTGCTCCCGTGGAAGCCTGCATACATTAGGCTTTAGACTCTCAGTGAATTCACAGCACCTTAACAAGCTGCTGCATGTCCTAGGAGCGTCAGGAGCTATCTGGGGCCACATCTATAGCCTGTGGCAAATACAGGAGATGCAGAAAAGGGTTGAGCAAAGTTGCGTTATCCTGTTTTATGCTGCAAGCTAGCAGTGTGAGTGATCGGTTACTGCCGGTCACCAGGGTGTGGTAAGCAGATGAGCCTTAATAATGAATCTTTTCCTTTCAGTTTTAAGGACTGAAGACATAATCACGCAGTGAACAGCAGAGAAGCCACCTGGAAGAACAACCCTCCGCACCCTCTGTTGTTATGGCAGGGGGAAGGCGGGGCCCTAACCGGACATCCTACTGCCGAAATCCCCTCTGTGAACCCGGGGCCGCTGGCGGCTCCAGCCATTCCACCAGTTCCTCTGTCACGGGTGTGCGCTCACGCACCAGGTACGTCCGGCTCTCCGCATCTTCACATCTAGCCAGGCCAGCTGCTCCTCTCTGAGGCAGCTGTGAGGCCACCTGTATCTCCCCATCTCACACACTGCTGGTTTTCCTGTGGCTCAGGGATTTGTTAACTCCCGGTGTCTAGCTGAAATCCTTTTCCTATATGTGGCAGTGTCCATGCTACATGTTGTAATTGGGATAGGGGGGTTCTAATTTGCCCGAGACTTAAGCACTTTATCAGACCATGACAGACTTCCAGGAGTGTTCAAAAGCCTTTCGTGACCGTTGAATGGAAAGTAAGAATAGAGACAAATTTTTATCCAAAGCCTGACTCTGGAGTTCTGGTTGTTGCGTCTCCTGTGCCCTGAAGTTTATGTCAGGCGAGGCATTTCTGGGGTAGAGTTTAGCTAGGTCAGGTGATGTGTAGGTTGCATTTTTTTTTCCAGGTTCTAGCCTAGCTGGTTGGTTGCATTTCTGCGACTGAGGTAGAGAGGAGGAAGGAGAAGCGGAGCACCGACAGCAATACGTAAGCAGGAGGTGCCTTATGAACTGTCTGCAAAGAAAATGTTAGATCTGTCTTAACATACTCCCTGCTTACGGCCCTAGGCCAAGAAATTTATGAGGATACAGTTATTCAAACAAGTTATTGCAATGCCACAGAAGGTGGAGCAATCCACCTTGTACATACTTGCTGTGAGAGCATGCACAAAGGTCCTCAGCGCAAAGTAGGTAATGCAGTACAAATCCGTGCCCCAGCTTACCTCCAAGTGATTGGTCCAGAAAGCCCTTTTCTGGAGGACCAGAACAGGAACTCTTGTTCTGTGTACAGGAACAGAGTTTATTGGCGGATTTATCGATCCTGAGGAGCTGAATCAGTCTTGTCAGCTTGGGAATCTGGGGGTTTCAAGAGCTTGGGTTCCTAAAGTTTTCCCCTCACGCATGGCTTTATTTTAGGCTGCCAGCCTTCTGTTCTAAAAAGCATGGACTGGTCCACCTGTGTCCACCCCTGGGCTAGAAGTCTTTCAAGACTTCTGGGGTTTTGTTTTGGGACTTTCAATAGGAGTTTGTGCTCTGTAGCTCCTTTGAAACCCACACCCAGATTCCTTTGACTGTTGTTATTTAGAGATTGCAAATCAGAAGAGAGATACCTAGTATATATTAATTCCCTTCCCTTTGATTAAAAGGGTTGCTGTCTGGGATTGTGTGCGTGCTCACACAGGAATATGCACCTCTGACTAAACTTGTTTTTCCTCCATAGTTGAATAGAAGTTGAAGAATGACAAAGGGCTTGTGTTTAACTGCTCTGTCTTTCCACGTTCAAGCACTCTTAGAGATGTAAATAGCAACTGAAGGCCTAAAAGCTTCCAGTTAATTAAGAGGGCCACCGGTTGCCCCTTGAATAGCAAAACACAGCCATGGCTTTTGAATCTGACTCAACGCAAGGGATTTAATACCAAATGACCTGGTGCTGTAGATTGGCCTGGTTCCAAATATTGCTTTCGCTGGGCAAATTCCCGCTCACATCTGCCTGTAACAGGCATCCTAGACATCCTCGGGGTGCTGACACTTCTGGTTTGTGGCAGCCATTGACCGTGATAGTCGGCTTAGGTTTCTCAGTCAATATTAGACCCACTGACCTCTACAGTCTATGTGGGCTGGAGGACAGCGCTGTGTTTATCTCAGGGAAGTGAAACCCACAGTGTGAAATGTTCCTTTCAGGTACAGGCCTTTCCAGCCCACCTTTGGCAGCTCAGACAGTCGTCCCCCTCCGGCACTGTAAGATCCCAGAGCTGCCTGTGGAGAGGAGTGTGCTGTTTGAACTTCAGCTCTTCTTCTGTCATCTCGTTGCTCTGTTTGTCCACTACATCAACATCTACAAAACTGTGTGGTGGTACCCACCCTCCCATCCGCCTTCACACACATCATTGGTAAGCACCAGAGGACAGCTGCTGTCCGGTGATATTCACAGGCTGGCTCTTGGGTCGTTAGACATAAAGTTTTCTGTATATGCTTGATGCAAGCTACATGTGACTCTACAGCCCTGGAGGGTTGCTCACGTGACTCTTACTTGGCAAATTTTGGGCACTGGCTGTCTGCTTGGCATTCTCTTTCTGATCTTGGAAGAGAGAGTCCAAGGAGAAGAGAATAACTTGGGAACTTCTCTGTTGAACGTGGGTTTCTGCTGCCTGATGGAAAGTGGAATCATTTTGTTTTTGTCACCGCAGAACTTTCATCTTATTGACTTCAACGTGCTGACAGTGACGACGATCGTCCTGGCACGCCGGCTGATCGGTGCTATTGTGAAGGAGGTAAAGTCCCCAGGCAGATCTCAGAACTGTTCTTTCCTCCCAGGCGAAATGTAAAGCTGTGTGTCCCTTTTGGAGTTCCAAACTCTTCTGTCCTTTCCTAAAGAACTTTGTGCTATGTCCAAGTCAGAAACCTAGGCATGGTTTCTAATGGGAAGAACAGAGAACAGAAATGAGCATCTCAAAGCGTTGCCCATGACTGACTCTGTCCTTCTGTGATTCTTTCTGAATTACTGTCTCAACTAGACCGTAGTAAGTTCTGCTTTCTTCCTTGTGAAGAACAGTATTTGGCTCTTTTCCTGTTCTTTCAATTACTCTAGCTTTCTGCAAGGAGGAACCAGTGTGGGTCAGTTTCTGCTGACTGCAGAAGCCGTCTGTGGTGAGCAGGTCCAGGAGAGTGGGCTGGTCACACCGATAACTACCAGACCTTAACAAGAAACTGAGAGCTCTCCTCATGCCAGCTTGAGGAATGAGGCCCTGGGTTTTGGCGAGTCCAGATTCCAGCCTACAGAAGGCCTCCCCTTCCTGCTGGCCGTCAAACAGAGCCTTTCACTAGCTCTTCCTTGATGCATATGAAGTTGATTTTGCAGATTGAGTGCTGCTCATTTACTGTTTGCTTCCTGGAGGAAGAGTGAATGAGTCTCCCCTCTGCCCAGCTCTTTCTTCTCTCCCCGCAGGCTTCACAGAGTGGCAAAGTCTCCCTGCCACGCTCTATCTTCCTGGTGATCACTCGGTTTGCTGTTCTCACTGGCACAGGCTGGAGTTTGTGTCGATCAATAATTCACCTTTTCAGAACCTACTCTTTCCTTAATCTCCTGTTCCTGTGTTACCCGTAAGTATCTCTTCTGTCACTTGTGTGTGATTTCTAATGTTGCTTCAGTGCAGTGGGTGTTGCTCAGTTGAAGTGAAGCCTGAAAGTAAATAAGCACTCGATTACCTGGTAACAACTTAAACTACCCTTTTCCCTCTTGCTGTGTCACGTTTCTTCTTGGTGGCAGGGCATATCTTTAACATTTACCCATATTTCAGCTCTAATACAAGCATTACCTATTAGGTTGCTCGTGTCCTCTGAAAAGGGTTGTATGCTTTTCTCATGGTATTCAAAGAACCCATGTCTTCGGTTTACCTTAGTCCTTAGGTGCCTGTGCCAGGTGGAGTGAGTCAAACCGCTTCCCCGCTTCCTGTTAGCTAACGAAAGGAAGCCAGTTCTATTTCCAGTCAAGTGGTGGAAACAGCTCCCTTCCCTCCGGTAGATGGAGGAGGAAGCATCTCAAAGATCTGAGACTTGGTGCTTGTGTTTGGGATCAGATTGGTGAAGCTCTTCTCTGGAGTTTATATAGGTCCCAGGTGTCATTTAGGAGGGGGATGTGATCGTAACGCTGATCTGCTGCCGGCAAAGGCATTGCACGGGGAGCTCGTAAGGAAGTAACCACCTTTCTGCACTTTGCTGCTCCAGGTTTGGCATGTACATTCCCTTCCTTCAGCTGAACTGTGACTTTCGGAAGACGGGCCTCTTCTCCCAGGTAGCCAACATCGGTCCCAGAGAGACCGGCGAGGTGAACCCCAGGGGCAGAGACTACCTGACCGTCCTAAAGGAAACCTGGAAGCAGCACACTCGACAGATGTACGGCATGGAGGCCATGCCCACTCATGCCTGCTGCCTCTCCCCAGATCTCATCCGCAATGAGGTGGAATACCTGAAAATGGACTTTAACTGGCGGATGAAAGAGGTGCTGGTGAGCTCCATGCTCAGTGCCTACTACGTGGCCTTTGTGCCCGTCTGGTTTGTGAAGGTGAGCGAGGGCCAGCTCTGCTCTTGCAGACACCGCTTCTCCAGGCGTGGGACTGGCTGGGGAGGATCGTGGGGAGGTGGACGCTGGGTTATGGAGGAGGTCTGGATCTCGCTTCTTGCTTCACTGGAACGTGGGAGAGGTTGGTCAGAGGGCTGGTCTGTGTGCACAGGCGGCTGTATCAAACCCATTTACAGAGGCCCTGTGAAAAGCAAGAAGCAAAGCCATCTAGGTTTAGCTTTGCTTAAACTCCGGGTAACAGAGGACAATATTGTCCTGGCGAAGTGTATTCTGACTGTTCATGAGAGTGTGCATCCATCTGTTAGGGAGCGGAGCCTCCCTCCTGCCTCCCCGTGCAGCTAGAAGGACTCCAGGCCGACCGTTCCTTCGCACGCTGGCCTTCTGTGAGGACAGAGCTCCAACGAGGGGATTGACTTTAATAAGGGAGGCAGCATGAAGGAGGATGGACCTTACTAGGATTCTTAGCTGTTTTATTTAAGTTACTAATATGTCGTACAATGAGACAAATGCCTTGTAGTAAATCTGCCAGACCTCGGGGATGAGCCCAAGTCCCCTTCCGCTGAGGGGCTGGTGCTCCCACCCATGGTCAGCTGAGCTAGGGGAGCATCAGGAACTATCTCCCTATTTTTTGGTGATGGGTGACGATAGCATAAATGTTTCGCTGTGGTGTGTTCGGGAGTTGTACAGCAGCCATCCTATGTGGGCGCTTCTTTTTCGAGCGGGATTAATAGCTACGTGAAAAGCCCTTGTTTTACCTGCCTGAGTGCTTTGTGTTTTGATGGCTTTGTTAGGTGAGGCTGTCCAAACACGTTGTCACACATTCTTCTTGTCCCCCCCCCAGAACACTCAGTACTATGACAAACGCTGGTCGTGTGAGCTCTTCCTTCTGGTTTCCATCAGCACGTCTGTGATCCTGATGCAGTACCTCTTACCTGCGCGCTACTGTGACCTGCTCCATAAAGCCGCAGCGCACCTGGGCTGCTGGCAGAAGGTTGATCCAGCCCTCTGCTCCAATGTGCTACAGCATCAGTAAGGAACTCTCTCCTGGGGCTAGGGCTGGAGTTTTCTCTTAGCTGGCATGCCTGCTGGCGCGAACAGAGGCTGGATGGGGAGCTCAGCTTTCCAGCCACCTCTCCTCCTCCTCTTGCTTAAAAAAATCAAGAGAAAGAAAAATGAAAGCAGTTGTCAGCTGACGCATCCGACAGCGTACAGACACTACCTGTACTGTCCGCTTCCAAGCGCAGCAAGCAGATCTGATTTTTGGCAAGGTGCCTGCTGCTCCTGGCCCCAGGTGACTGCCGTGTGTCACTGCCATGGTTACGTGCCTCGGTGCACCAAACTCTGCCCTCAGGAATGATGGCAGCTTACTACTGTGGCCAACGCCGCGGAAGCAGCTCGTACGATATCCTAGCTGGTGGTGGGAAGGCAGCAGACCCCCCCTTCAGCTGCGGAGGTAGCAATGAGAGCGCTCTGCTTGTTTCCTGCAGGTGGACAGAGGAGTGCATGTGGCCGCAGGGAGTGTTAGTGAAACACAGCAAGAACGTGTACAAAGCTGTGGGTCATTACAACGTGGCGGTGCCCTCAGACGTCTCGCACTTCCGCTTTCACGTAAGATCCCATCTCCTTTCTGGGGACGGAGGAGGATCCTGCCTCGGCAGGATCACGGCCCCCTTGTCCTGTACGCCTCAGACTGCCTGAGCTGGCTCTCCGAGCAGGAGAGCTGCCCGCGGGGCGTGCCAGGGCGGTGGAAGGAGCCGGGTTCGGTACAGGGTTTCACGTTAGTCCCGCGTCTCCTGTCGGTGCTGCCAGAAGGGTGGCTGGCCTCTGCCAACCGGGGCTCTGTTCAGAGCTCTTCACGGGTAAATGTCGTGTCTCCGGAGGGGAATCCCGGAGGAATCCTCACCGGCCTCTGCCTCACACGTCCTGTCAAAAACGCGTCCCGGAGGGTCTGGCCTCGCTCGGTGCCTTATTGCGGTCTCTCCTACAGTTCTTTTTCAGCAAACCACTGAGAATCCTCAACATCCTGATTCTGCTGGAAGGAGCCGTCATCTTCTACCAGCTTTACTCGCTGATTTCTTCAGAGAAGTGGCACCAGACTATCTCGTTGGCTCTGATCCTCTTCAGCAATTACTACGCCTTCTTCAAGCTGCTGCGTGACCGTCTGGTGCTGGGCAAAGCCTACTCGTACTCTGCCAGCAGAGACTCGGAGCAGAAGTTAAATTAAAACAATTGCACTGATGCTCAGCTTATTACAAAACAAACAAAACAAGAAACCCTCAGAGCTTTGTATTTTTGTTACCACTGCTTTTTTTCTTTGATAACTGATGTAATTAAAAGGAAAAAACATATTTTTTTACTCCCAACAGTTGTTTGCGTGTTTGTTGTCTGGTGAAGTCCCCCGAGAAGGCCTCCTCCTGTTCGTATTTGAGCGGAGTGATTTATTAGCAGCGGTGCTTAGTTTTGAGAGGTGCAAATACTGCTGCTTCTGCTGGAGTCGGAGCTCCGGCTGGCACCGAGTGGGAAGATGAGAATTACAGGTATGCTAGAGCTTCCAGTCTGCGTTCCTTTAGAAGGGGGCGAGCCCCGATCCTGTCCTTTCCGGGGACCCCGAAGGACCTCCTGCAGCACCCCCCGACGCTCTGTGG